GGGGGTGTTGTAGCATACTGTCCTATTTTTATTAATTTTTTCTTTTTTTCTTATTACCTTCTCTAATTGTTTTCTTGCTTCGTCCTTTTCCCTGGTTTTAAGTGACCTGTGCGTATGTAAGCATTTTTGTCTCACTCTCACAAATGTTTCTCTGCCGTCCTGTTTTATTCCAGAACTATGGGACCAACTTTTGAGAACACTTTTTTTTCTTTTATTTGAATGAACACTTCTGTCAGTTCTCTTGCTTTAGTTCTACTCTATGTGGCCACATTGTATGTGCATATTGTGTTCTGTAACGTAAACACATACTTTTATCTGTACTCTTGGAGGACTCTTTTGTTCTTGTTTTTTTTTTTTTTAATTCAACTTTTGAAGAACATCTGGTTAATGAGTTTTTGTTTTTTTTTACTGTCAGTGCAGTTTGTTTAACCCTATCCGTACGCCCTGGGGTCATTTTGTACTCCCGGGGTTGTATTCTTCACATTTTAGAACACTTCTGGTGTGAAGATCTCGTTGATACTTTCAGTATTTCTCAAAAAATCATTTTGACAGACTTCTCTGCAAAGCGTACGGATTGGATTAACGAGTAAACTTCCCCTTTGGAAAGTGGTGCCACAGAGTTCCCCACCTCGTATGGATACGATAGTAAGACAAGACGTACGGATAGGGTTAATTTCTCTCCTAATTACCTCCATTTACAGGCGTCTGTGGTGTAGCAGTTTGACACTTTGCTTTCACACGCAGAAGACCCGAATTTGATTCCCGAGTGGGGAGGAAATTTTTATCAAGTACCTCAGTCGTTCGGCTGGGATGTTGTTTCCCTCTTCAGCCTGGGTTGGTTCTGACAAGCAGGGTCAGAAACTCATCTCGTAAATGACCTAAACTATGTCGATGGGGGTTTAAAAAACGCTTACATTTTTAAAAAGAAAAAAAAAGCCCTCCATTTGCTTTCCTCTCACTTTTATCCAGCACTGTCTGACATGATTTTATTATTGTGTGTGCGTGTGTGTGTTTCTTCTTCGCTGATACCTGTTTTTATAACGTGTTTTAGTATCCTCAAACCCAACACAAATATCACATCAGTGCAGTATTCTTTGACCTCACACAGAAATAGCTGGCAGTGCAGAATAGATTTGTGTATTTTTGGATCTGAAAAATTTAAGATAATTACATACATATTTCAGCTTAATATAATCCCAAATACCACTGGTGGCTATCCTTTTAGCGATTTCCAAGTTTTTCGAGACTTATTTTTAAACTCTCCTTGCATGGGTGTATGGGACTTTTTTTATATGTATAGAATTCCTGGTTGTAATTTGAATTAATTATTTTGCCCAGTAGGAGTTAAAAGCGGTATGTAAAACATGCTAAAATTGATACATGGCCAGTACAGCAACATTCTGTCTAGAAACATCTATTTAATAGTTTCACGAGAGACTGGGAAACTTGCTAATGTGAGACAATCGTACTTTCAAGGTTTGTGTTTATTCATGGATCTTCTCGAGTAAAGGTCTCCAAATACTAGATCTAATTTGAATTTTTTTAAAAACAGATGGAAGAAACTGCTAGATGTAAAAAGCATGGGGATCTTTCCCCACAAAAAGCTTGTACATCTCAATTGGAGATTGGTTTGTGCTTATTGCAGCACTAGTTAGTTTTTACTTTTTGACAAAACCTTCAATGCTGCAGTTTATGTGTTGTTGGTTAGGAAAGTGACGTCCTTTTGCGTTGTTTCTACGTAGGCGATTCGGGTTTTATTTCACCTCCCTTTTCAGGCTTGATGTCATCATTTCAGAGATTATTTTCTCATGGTCGGTCAGAGGGTGTTTTCGGATGGTTGGAGGAGGCCATGGATAGGTCCCACCAGTCTTTTCTTCCTGTTGTTTTTGTCTGTATATCTTACTTATTCTCAGCACTAAATGACCATTATTGTCTTGATGTGCTTCTCTTTACTCAAACAACTACTACAATAAAATTGGATTGTGTTAGCTTTAGAACCTTGAAAGTTTGAAACACATGGATGTATGTGAACAGAAAGCTTCAATTTCATCGAGACCTGCAACAGGTCCACCGTTTTGTTGTCAGTTTCTTTGGTATATCTCTCATTATCTGAGAGATGTTTAAGATAGAAAAAGAAAATAAAGGTGTACTCAACTCAGAAAGCAGAGGAGCTGGCTGGGTCGGGGTCCCTAATTTTGAACTTCTGATTGTTACTCATATTAGAAATACAGTTGTGAGATTTTACAATATTTTAAGAGCAGTCAAAATGTGCTTTAGAAGTGCTAAGATGACCGATAAAATAGAGGCATGTTTACATTGATTGTCTCCTTTTTTTACTTTTTCTGCTTCATTTGGGATGACAGTTTGACTGTTAATGCGATAGTGTACACAAATTGTGCTGTCCCCTTTAGCATGGGGTATCAATTTGAGTGGATGTACATTTCTATATGTATTTTGTTGTTGTGTTTTTCAGGAGAGGCAGTCCCTTGCTGATTGGTGTAAAGAGCAAGAATAAGCTGAGTACAGATCACATCCCAGTGGTGATCAGCAAAGGTAGTTTCCACTACAGAAATACTGGTTCACCCCTCCCTGACCCCTGCCTAACACCCACAAAGCTATGTTATGTAATACTCTTGAATATACTCATGCGATCCCCTCTCTTTAGAGGAAAGGTTGGATTTCAATATCTGCCTTTTTTCCCTTTGATTTACCCTTTATTTCCCGTAATCGTACGCAGATAAGGAAATGCCCATTATCAATCCCTTGAATATTTTCTGTGTCTTTATATCTTTAGTTTTATTTTGATCTACTAATGATAAATATAGATCTAATCTCTCTGACATCTCTCTTCTCGGGAGGATTCTAAATCTCCTAATCTTTCAAGCTTAAAAGTGAAAGGGTTTTTTGGTTGTTTTTTTTTCAACAGCTTTTACCAGTTTTTATTTATAAAGATGCATAGGTTGATAGGGAAAGTGATTGCTTAGCTGCACTTTATGTATGTTGTCTAATATTTCCGTTTTTTCTTGGTTTTCTAAGTTAAAAAAAAAAAATTTGGAGGGTGTGTGGGTTTAACTTAACTAACAGTAACAGCACAGCTATGTTACCCTTCAGTTGAGCGTTTTTTTGGCCTGTTGCTTGTTTTTGATAAAGCATATTTATACTTTAGATTTTATGCAGTGTTTACTGAAGTCTGACTTAAGATTATGTCTGCTGTTGCAACCCCTTCAGTCTGTTTTGTGCTACTTGTAAAGCTTTCTCTTGTTCTGTTCCTGTGTAGAATGTCTGTCATTCTGCTTCCCAGTGAGTGGGTGGTTGGCGGGTGCTCTGGTGTGTTTTGCTCCTTCGTTCCTATCGAACATCTGTCGTCCTCATCTCGCCTCCTTTTTTATGTATGTTGCTCTCTTGTAACACCTCTAATCTCCGGCACTTATATGACCTTATTGTGTTGCAAACGCCATAAAACTTTTAGTTAGACAAAAAGCTTCCCAGTGGTCATGGATGATATTGTGGGCATGTGTTTTTCTGATAAAGAAGGAATGAATCAAGACAAAACAGTATGACAAACTTGTAGTTTGATTTCTGTTCATCTTATTGTCTTTTGGTCAGAGTAAGTCAGACTTCAGTAAGATTCATGTGTCTTTTTTCTGTGTAATTTTCACTACTTTAGGTGTGAACTTGTTATCGTAGTGATAGAACCTCTCTTGCGATGTGCACTTACTGGATAAAACGAACAGTTCTTGATGCATTTAATCAACCTCAGTGTGGTCTTCTACAGGGTCACTAAGTCAGTATGTTGTTAGTTGGTATCTTTGTCTGCATTGTTATATGCGTGCGTGTGCTGTTTTTGGCTCTCCCTCTCTCTTGTTCTTTCTCTCTCACACTTTCTCTCTCTCTCTTTCTCTCTCTCTCTTTCTCTCTCGCTCTCTCTCTCCCCCCCCCTCCCTCTCTCCCCCTCCCTCCCTCTCTCCCTCCATCTCCCCCTCTCTCCATCTCTCACTTTCTCAAGTGTATTTTATGAAAGCTTCTTATGATGTCTGACTGTCTTTGTTTATATCTATTTATATCTAGACTTTTTATTGTCTTCATATCCTCTGTTCTCTGCTGATAAAACATTGGCTGCTTCTAACAATGTGCAATGTGCCGATCTAAATGTCATTTCTCTCACTTCTATTAGGTCACAGTAAGACTGACAGTCTTGAAGGTAGTTTCTGCAGGAATCGTTCAACTCGAGTATTCATAATGCCTTGTTTTCATCAAAAACCCAAATTTTTGCCAAATTTTTGTAGTTGAGGGTTTCAATTGAAGTGAAAACCAAACAGTAGGATCATGTAATCAAACTTCTGTCAGTTATGTGCTGCTTTGCGGTACAGACCACATGTTTTTCTCACTGTTTTTCTTAGCAACTGTTAAATCTTTTGGTGAAACCCAACTTGAATGGGGGCCAGGTTTTGGTACGCATTATCATAATATTTTCAAAATGAGAATTCAATTCTTTTGGGTTTTGGATGTTACATTTCATATTCATGCCTCTTGTAGTGTGCTTTGGTTAAAGGTATACATTTGGACGTGTAGTCTGCCAGTGCTGCTCTGATTTCAGAGTGCGGATCATGTTCTGCCTGATAAGCTTACAGATTGTCTTCAGGCATTTAAAACAGTGTGCCTGGGTCGTTGGAATGGTCGACTTGTGGATACGGGGTCTCTCCTACGCCATTGTAATTTGTCATCTTGTTCTTTTCCTGGTATAAGTTATTGTCATTAAGTGAGTTTCTACGCCATTGCTGATTCGGTGAAGGAGGAGGTAGAGAGAATATGTTTGCGTGACTGAGTTACAGTCAGTTTTGTGTTGAATATTATAAAATGTCATAGCTGTTATCAGCGTATTTATTTGTATGCGGTGCCATTGACTTACAATTGTTTGTTTATATACATTTTGTTATTTGTGATAGATATATTTGATAAGCTACTAGGGTTTTTTAGATTGTTGTTTACGAGAACGAATTACATTTGTCTTTTTTGACAGTTGTATAAATCATGTCAACAGAAATATAATGCACAACAGAAAATGATGATTTTATGTATATCAGCAAAAAAAAGATGATTATTTTCTTTATGATATTTGTGTTTGCCATTATAGAGTGTGGAGCTGGGAGGCATGTTGAGTAATGGAAGCTTTGTCTGCTGGTAACTAACGCTGTGATGTGTGGCTTTGACAGAGGCTTCTATTCTTATCAGGGACTACAGACTCTCCCTCCTCCTGTTACTTTTTGGCCAATCCATGTCTTCTATACAGCTGACTCATTGTTGAAAGGGGTCTTGAATTACTGTTGGAAACAGACTAATGAGGAAATATGCTCTCATGTCATGTAGGTCATTGGAGGATGTTGTTGGTAGGTCTTACTTCTCTCCCATTTGTCCGTTATCACTGTCTGCTTGTTTTTTCGCTCATCAAAAGAAAAATTACGGTGTCCGGTGCTTTTTTATTTAGTTTCAGCCAACACACTCGAACACTGGTCAAACCAGTTCCCCTCTCTAGTTTTATTTGTGTGAGCCCTGCAAGCTAAGAAGAAACTTCTCCGTCTTCATCTGTTATGAAATTGGACTTATCAGAAAGTATGGGATTTTATCTAGTGAAAGTTGTACCCACTACTAGTGAATTGTACAGTAGTTTCCGCATAAACACACGCCATACAAAGGCACACTCCTCTCAAATGCACGCTTTCGTCAGATGACGGGATTTTAATCTATAATTTAGACATACAAACGCACGGTCATTTTCTCTAAAAGAACGCTTTGATTGGCGAAACAGGCCTACATGTAAAGCTTGACAAAGGGAATTTTCTTCTACAACCTACACAGCATGCGTCATGGTAACAAAGGCAAGTCTAGGCAACCGGATATTAGGCGAGATGGCTCTACTAAAAAAAGAACGCTTGGTAAGCCGCGTGGCTAAGCGCTCTTTCCAATGACTATCGCCAACAGTTTTCTCTATGTGCTCATGTGCCATGTTAGTGCCTATCAGGACATAGAGTCTGTCTTTCTGCTTTTTTTTTCTCCCTACCACTCTCTCAACACCTTTGTAGTCATAACCGCGATCATGGAATCCTTTACGAAAACAGTTATGTTTCATGGCATTATCTGCGCAATCCCCTAAGGGAGGTCACTAAAAGATCAAGTAAATGAGATGCTTGCGCCCCTTTCCCCCCTTGGCACAGGTTAACGTAAATGCACTCTCCTTGTAAATGCACGCTTTGGAGCCCTCTCAAGCACCATGCGTTTAAGCAGAGACTACTGTACAAAGATTTTGCTTAGAATTCTCTTCATGGAGATGTGAATTGTGAAGGATGGAAGACTCTTCACATGTAGAAGTCAAGTCTTGCTCATGCGAATGCTGAAACATTGTGATACTCCGTTTAAAATAGCTGAAATTTTTAAACACATATCAGCGGTATGTGACATGAACTAAAGGCTGAAAAGTATTGGCGTTAGCTTTTCATGGTTCTGTAATAATCTAACAGGGACAAGAAATGCACCATACTGGTGAAGGAATGTGATTTGTGTCATGCATGATTTATTACTCTCAGCGGACAGCTCCACATAGATATGGCCTTTATACTCATTACTACGACGCTGAACAGTTCTAGAGGTGGAATGTTGAGCTAGTTTGTGAAAATAATTTTTGCTGGTTACTGTTAAATCGCTGTCAATTGCTTGATCATATTGCATGAATATTTTTTTAGATGTGGAATGCTTCTACATGTAATTTGTGAAAATCATATACTAAAAAGCTGGTATATTCATCTTATTGGTAATTTTTTAATTGTCTTCTCATGAACTTCTAATTTTTCTGCTCTAATGTTTTCCTTTGAACACTCTGTTTGTTTTCCAACACTGAATAGACTAAAAGAGGAAAGATTATGTATAATAGACTACAGGGTATTAATCTGTTAGAATCCACAACAATTTTTGGCATTGTTTTCTGCTTTATCAACTTTTTCAAGTAGAAATTTGTAAATTTCAAATGGTATACTAAGAAAAGTCTTGAGTTGGCTCTGGGATTTGAAAGTGTCAAACAAGAATGACTTTTCTACAATAAAGCTGAATGTGTATAATGACTATAGCAAGTCAGGTCAGTTTATTTGTTTAGGGGGGTGTGTGTTGGGTGTTGGGTGTTGAGTTGAAGCCAATTTGATCAAATCAGATTTGATTTCTCCAGAATAAGTATGTTTCTGTTTTCCTGGTACACACATGATGTTATCAGATTTGATTTCTCCAGAATAATGTTACTGTTTTCCTGGTACACACATGATGTTATCAGATTTGATTTCTCCAGAATAAGTATGTTTCTGTTTTGTTTGTTAGACGGGCCTGATTTTCAGGGAAACCTTTTCAAGACAACAGAGAGTTACAAATGACGACTAGAGGATTGATACTGTAAGACAGCAAACTGGGAACTCTGTGCCCTCCGGAGCAGCCTGTAGCTGTGCATCTGTGATTAAGCAGTCCCAATGTTACTTTCCAACATGTCATCCTGACATGCAGTGTGCGGCGAAGAAAATTTCTTTATTTTTTATCTTGTGAGATATGTCTTGATTGTTGATCTTGTTTTATGTTTTGAGAGATATATCTTTATTGTCTATCTTGTTTTATGTTTTGAGATTTATCCTTATTTTTTATCTTGTTTTGTGTTTTGAAATTGCTCCTGGTTTATAATTTACATAATTGTGAAAATACTTTATCAACTTGAAATGTTTTCAGTGCATGCTAAGGCTTTTTAAGATTGGGTTTGATTTTTTTTCTGTTTTAGACTACAGAGGTTACCTTGGCAGCAGCGGTGGCCGCAGAACGGATGAAGAGACAGAGTACCACACCACAGGACCAGAGAAGGAGATTGAGTACTTCTTTGCCTCTGATGCCAGGTAATGAGAATTTGCTTCCCTTCAAGTTGTGCCAGCCCCATTGACACTGCAGGAGAAGCTGTCTGTGGGTGGTTGGCGGGTGCTCTGGTGTGGTTTGCTTCTTCTTTCCTATGAAACATCTATCGTCCTTATCTCCCCTTCTTCTTTTTTATGTTTGTTACTCTTTTGTAACCCCTCTAATCTTCTGGCGCTCATATGACCTTATGCAGTTGCGAGCACCGTAAGACCTCTACTAAAACAACAGCTGTATGGGCTGACAGAAGAACTGAGCAGGACAGCCCAGTATATGTGGGATACTGGACTTCCAAGTGTAATACAATTGAGAAGAAGAACAAAAAGAAGGAGCTTCAAGTTATAATGATTTTTGTCTCTAATGTCGTGTTTAGACTCTCATAATGGAGAGTTGGAGGGAACCTACATCTTCTCTTTCTTTTGTAGTTTCTGTCTGTCTGTCTGTCTTACTTTTCCCTGCACCAGATGGTCATCATGTGTCAATGTGCTTGATTTTATTTAGAGAAAGCTTCAGCTATCAGTGTAGCTGAATGTTTTCCTTGTTGGATTTTATATATTTACCAGTGGTCATAATGTGCAATGGGTGGTAGGTGGGTGCTCTGGTGTGCTCTGCTGCTCCTGCATCTTTTCAGTAGCTTTTATTGCCTTTGTCTATTCCAAATAAAATCTGGTCTTAATTGTACCCCCCCCCCCCCCCCACCTGAGTTCGATTTCTGTGTGGAAGAATTGTTATTGAGCATCTTGGTCTTTCTGCTGGGATGTTGTATCACTCTCAGTCCGATTTGGCCTTGACAGGTCCGACGTTTATCGATATGTAAATGTGAAGTCTTAAAGAAAGAGAGAGTTGGAAGAATAGGGAGAGTGTAAGGGAAAGAGAGATAGAGTTTGAGATATATTTATGTCTAAATATCATATGCAAGAGACAGAGAGTTAACTAAAAGACTGAGGAAGAGTGTCATTGTTTCCTCTTCTAGTGCTATCATTGAGCACACTGACCAAGTGATCTACCTGGAGGAGAACGACGTGGCTGCTGTGCATGACGGGGCCCTCAACATCCACCAGGCTGCCACCTCCCTGGATAAACTAGACAAACAGACACAGACCTTCAGAGAGATCTCCACCTTGAAGGTGGCCATCGAGCAAATCATGAAAGGTTAGCTCTATTTTCTTTACTGTTATTTAGTATAGAGAGTTCTCATCTTAAAAGATTGCTGTTGAACAAATCTTAAAAGGCCAGCTCAATTCTAAAAAATTTTTTTATTGCCAGCTGCAAATCTCTGGACAGAATGTAACCTATGTTACAAATAAATTGCTAGCATTTATTTGATTCTTATTTATATTTCACGCCTTACTGGTTTAAGGTTGATGTTTTCAAATTTGGTTTTGAAGTTGTGTCTAGTCAGTTTTCCGTCAATGTGCAATAAGTGAGCATGTAGTATTGTTATGGTTTTGTACAGGGTTCTACATTATTAAAATGTAAGTTTATGATACATTTATATTTGTAAATATTCAGAAAGGACACGTTATATGTTTGCTTTTGCAAAGTCTAAGTTTACATGTGTTACACTGGTGTTTAGTTGGCATGTTTGTTTGTTTGCTTCTTCAAAGTTCTTTCGCTTGCTTTCAGTGTTATTGTTATCTTCTCTGTAGAACTATGGGTGTAACTGTGCTGACCAAGACTCTACAACTGCTTTTATTATTTCTGATCAGTTATCTTTCATTTGCATGACGTGATGGGTCCAAACCTGACATAAAAGTTTGAACTTTCTCTTGCACTTTCCTCAGGCAACTTCAAGTCATACATGCAGAAGGAAATTTTTGAGCAGCCCGAGTCTGTTGTGAACACCATGCGAGGCCGCATTAACTTTGAAACCAACAAAGTGGTGCTCGGGGGAATCAAGGACTACATGAATGAGGTCCGACGCTGCAGACGCTTGCTCTTCATCGCGTGCGGCACCAGCTACCACAGCGCTGTTGCTGTAAGGATCATGTCCACAACACATGCTTCGTTTGTTTCTCTTGGCTGGAGTTTTTTAATGTTGTTCTCAAATCAATGCAGCTTTTTTAGGTTTTAGAAGTCACAGAAATGTATATGGTTATGCTGTTGTACTCAAGCAGAGACTTGCAATAGGTTGCTTGTCAAAAAGAGGCGGCTAAAGTTGATGGTTTCTTCTCTTGCTACTGACATGGGGTTTGGAACCTTTTCTTGAAACTTTGAGCAAACAAATCATGGATAGCATTTTTGAAAAATGTAATTGTTAGAACAACTACTGTTAACGCAATATCTGTTCTCTAGTGACATTATGCGACTTTGTATTGAATACATTTACAGGGACCTTACTTCTTCTGTCTCATCTCGGCCCTGCCATTCAGTCTCCCTTTCACTGTATGCTTCTCAGCAAGCTAAGAAGTTTTCTAAGTGTTCTAATGTCTGCTGGGATAATAACTACTGCAAAGCGCATAGAGTATGTTGTAGAGCATGGATGTGCGCTATATAAATGCAGCTATTTTTATTATTTATTGTGTTATCTCCAGACACGCCAACTGCTGGAAGAGCTGACAGAGCTCCCTGTCATGGTGGAGTTGGCCAGTGACTTCCTAGACCGCAGCACACCCATATTCAGGGATGACGTCTGCTTCTTCATCAGTCAGTCAGGTCAGGAATGGGGAGGTTTTCATGTTCTGTTTCTGGTCCGTTCAATCAGTTTATTATTGCAGAAACCTTTGAATAGTTTGAGTTCTTCATGGTTTGGCAATATATATGCTTTCACATACACACTCACACATGCTCGCACACACACACATGCACACTCATTCACACACACACACACACACACACACACACACACACACACACACACACACACACACACACACACACACAAACGTGCACATACACATACACACACACACATGCATGCTCGTCTGCACGCATGCACACACACACACACACACACACACACACACACACACACACACACACACACACACACACACACACACACACACACACTCACACCACACACACTCGCTCATTATTCATTTCCATCAACAACAGCTGTGTGGACCCTACCCACGAACAATGCTCTCCCCTGCTTGCTCTCAGCTTTCACTATCAATATTCATCACATTGGTGAAAAGTGGCAATTATCCTGTTAACAAAGCCACTAGGCTCGACAAAAATCAAATAAGCGTTAGTCAATAATTTTTCACAATGACAAGATTGGATGTGGACTTCAGAAAGACACATATTCATTGGAAATCTTAGAACACTTCTGCTTTTTTTATATGTATTACTATTTGAATAGATGTTTTGTATTACAGCATGGGTAGTAACTTATAAAACAATGTGTGGATAAGAATCCTTTTCACATTTTGATTTTCTGTTCATTTTATTGCTACTTTTTGTTCACTGAAATTGTATTCTCCAAGTTCGAAAAATTATGTTTTATATTTGAAATATTTAAAGACTGTCTCTTTTCTATTGTAGATGTAGATAACAATGATTTTTTTCCTTTTTTTGTGTGTTCTTTTTGTTGACCTCATGAATGTAGAAGAAGTTTGCCAAATTTATGGTAGCATCAAAATAAAATGAAAGGGTTCAGTAGCTGTGGGATTAAATGATCGAGACAGTTGAGATGTGATTACTCAGCATCTGCTACATTTTTCTCTTAACCTCGTCTGTGTAAAGGCAAATGTAAAGAATACTTTTTAAAGTGTCATTAATGACATGGATAAAACATCAGGTTGTTCTCATCATTCTTCCCATTTCGTGATTGAAAAGTGAATGTAATTAATAGTTCTAGTTTTTCTTAAAGCAGAAAATGTCACTTGTTTCATCACAACTCAAAGAGGAGTTAAACCACTCTTATTCTCATGGGCACAGTTATAAATGGAGGTGGTTGTGAGATAATACTGTCTTTTCATTGTTATTGTTATACTCAAGTGTTCCCGGCCAATTACTGTTGTTCTCCTACTGAAATTACATCCTTACAAGAAGTTATTAAAAATGTTGTGAATGGTTGGAAGATGTGTGAGTGGGTCCTCTTTTTTTTTGTTTCCACTGCTGTTTTTCTTTTTTGCTTTTTGTCAGCATTAAATGACCACTATTGTGTAAATTTGATTCTCTTTACTCAAACTGACCTGAGCCAGACATGATGATGTGATCCCCAGTAATCAAGTATAGACTCAAATGCAAATACAGAAAAAGATCTGTTGTTTTATTTTCAGGTGAGACTGCTGACACCCTGAATGCCCTGCGATATTGCAAACAGCGTGGAGCCCTGGTGGTGGGCATCACAAATGTAGTGGGCTCTAGCATCTCAAGAGAGTCGAACTGTGGTGTTCACGTGAATGCCGGACCAGAGATTGGTGTTGCCAGTACAAAGGTAAAACAGCTTTTCAGTGCTCGCTGGTTAGAGTTCAAATCTTTGTCAGGTGCCTATTGATTTGAGTGGACATTTTTAAAAAGTGATGCTGCAGCTGCTGTTGATACTGGTGATGACAATATTATTGCCCTTGGTCACCCAATCAGTCAGAGCTTTTTTTTTTTTCTTTTCACAGGAACTCTTTTCAGTATATACAAAGCTCCACTATGCATGATTTAAATTTTGCTTCTAAAGCAGTGGAACAGCAAGACCTCAATTGCTGAAATTTGTTAAACTCATTTTTTTAAAGATTGTGAAATCAGTCAAAACTGTTTTGTTCTACTTTACAATATCATTGCTGTCACTGACCTTTGTGAATCCACGGTGATATTTCAGGCGTACACCAGCCAGTTTATCGCCCTCGTCCTTTTTGGTCTGATGATGAGTGAGGACAGAATCTCCCTGCAGAAAAGACGACAGGAAATCATCCAGGGCCTCAAGGAGCTCCCAGGTACGGCTACTGGAGTTCTCCACACTATTAATGACTCGGTGTTTGGTCTGTGTAGCCAGGAACCAAAATATCATGGGCTCAGTAGGGAGAGAGAAAAGAGAGGGTTAAGAGGGACCGTGGTAAAAGGAGAGCGAGATTGAGAGAGAGACAAACAGAGAGAAGGAGGGAGGGAGGAAGTGAATGTGTAAAATTATAGTAATAAGCATGGCCGTTCTAGAATGGCCTTGTTCCTACTACTTGTTTTGAGTGCTGTTATCTTCCTAGTCTTTTTCTTGCAAGGTTTGTCCGTTATCATGCTGACTCAGTGCTAATGGCAACTCAACAGCTTTCTTTTGAAATGTGGGAAATGAGTTTGCCTATGTATTGGGTGGTGTAAATGCGCAAAACTGATGTCCTCTTTATTTTCTATGTTCAGTTGGCATAAAATAGATGAGTATTCTGTCTTATGGTTCAGTCCTTAGTATAAACCTCTTATGCAGCGGTTCTAGCAAATCAAAGTATTCAATTTCTAGTTGGTTAGGTGCTTTTGCGGACTTGATTTGATTCACTGTATACTCTCCTGTTAACCGTTATTATGTCGTACAATCTACTATCTTTCCCTCAAAAGCTTTGATTTAAAAACAACTTTTGACAGAGAAAATCAAGAATGTACTGACCATGGACGACAGAATCCTACAGCTGGCCAAAGAGCTCCACTCAGAGAAGTCATTGCTGGTCATGGGCAGGGGATTCAACTATGCCACCTGTCTGGAAGGAGCTCTGGTGAGTACTTAGCACTGAGGTGTATACAGTTGTCTGCTCTCCTTCTCTCTCTCTCTCTCTCTCTCTCTCTCTCCCTCTCCCTCTCCCTCTCCTTCTCCCTCTCCTTCTCTCTCTCTCACTCCCTCTCCCTCTCTCCCTTTCTCCTTTTTGTGTGTGTATGTATGTGAGGTATCAATCTGTTTCTTTCTTTCATAGGTTTTTTTTTAGTAATAAATAATCCGCTGTTGGCTTGCACAGTTTCACCAGAGCCCCGTTAGCCTGCAACTTTTAGGGGTGACCTGGGTTCTCCTTCACGGCTAGCGTGACGCCTCAGTGGCATAAAGCCACACTGTACTTCATTGAACCCAGCAATCCCCTACTTTGTCCAGTTTCCACCTCCTGGGATGTGGTCCTGGGGTTGGGCTTTGGGAGGCACAGAAAAGCCTTAGAAAAGCAGTAGTAAACAAGACCAGGCAAAACAAAATCTGAAATTCAGTAATCAGAGGAATGGTGGGCACAAATGATGTCATTCATCACATCCTACACCAAAGAATCAAATGGTTCGGACATCTCATGTGATTACCAACGCACCATCCAGCACAACATGCCTACATAAAAAAATTTGATGACGAGAAGGCCAGAGGGCAACCGAGAAAGACCTGGATAGATGGAGTCAGGGAAACATTAACCACCCAAGGCATCCCCCTGACCCTAGCTCTCTGGGTGGTGACAGAAAGATGTCTCTTTCTTCCCGCGACACCCAAAAAGGTATAAGCGGCGGATAAAAGTTTTTTAAAATGAATGTGAGGATGCAGAATAAAGGAGCAAAGCTATTTTGCCATTTTTAATTTAAGCTGAAACTGTCCTTTCATCTTGATTTTAACCAATCTTTATGCACCCCTCATTTTAAACAAAAATTTTTGTGGTCTCCTGTCTTGGGCCTCAGAGAAGATCTGATTGGCATCTGTGTTGTAATGGTTAGACTTTTCACTGTTTAGCATCTCAGTCTGTTTGCATTCCCCCCTGGGCAGTGCTACTGACTGAAGTGTCTTAAAGCCATTCCCAAAGGGGGGATATTAACGTGTTCTTATGCACAGTAGAAATGTAAATGGGCTGATTTTTCAATGTCATGCTCATACTGTGCGGAAACAACATAGGGGGAACTGCTGCTTTTTCTTTCCTCATCCTTACTATCGTCATTTTTCCTCTACTTCTTTTGTATGTTTGTCACTCTCTTGTGAATTGCTATTTACAGGGTGCCGTTATAGTCGAAGTAGACTTTGTGCTGTTGAGGCTAGAGTTGTGAGCAGAGCAAGCCTGATTCCCAGTTTGTGTTTCTCTGTTGACATCCACCCCTTTGCGCTCATATAACCTTATGCAGTTGCGAGCTCCGTGAAACCTCTACTAAAACAAACAGTCAGTTTGCTGGGATGCTGTATCCCACTCAGTCCAGGTTGGCCCTGACACTCAGAACTAACCCACCCCACCCTCGCCCCTCCTGCCTTATACGTAATCAAAATTGTGTTGATAGGGGTATAAAGCATAGTAATTGACAAAGATTTTTACATAAAAAACCCTCAGAAAATCAAAGAACTGACGTACATGCACTCTGAGGGCATCCTGGCTGGTGAGCTGAAGCACGGACCCCTGGCTCTGGTGGACGAGGCTATGCCTGTGCTCATGGTCTGTACACGGGACAATGTGTTTACGGTGAGTCCCTTCTTCCTATTGTGGACACATTGCAAGGGCTGTGCTCCATTTTCAAATTTCTCACATTCTGTTCTTTTAAATTGTTTATATATATATAATGTTTTTGTGTTTTGGAGAAGTCATAGCTTAGTGGTTCAAGTATTAGACTTGCAGTTGTAAGATCATGGTTTCAGTTGGAGTACATTGGCAACCCAAGAGAGTTATCGTGTGAGGCTTTTGATGGGATAGAAAGCAAGAATTTTTACTATCTCAGAAACTTTTTGATTCAGACGCAATTAATGTTTTATGTTCAGAACTGCTTTACTGAAAAGCTTCACTCCATGTGAAAAATATCAGTTCTTTTTACAGAATGTAATTATGGCCAAAGCAAGTCCCTATTTTGTAAGCACTGCTTCACAAAAGCTAATATTAACTTGATGTTGTTCGGTTTTCCAGAAATGCGTGAATGCTCTACAACAAGTGAAAGCACGCCACGTAAGTACTCATGAAAGACTTGTTTTATCATTGTATCTGCACTTTATACTGGATTGAAATGAGTCATGTTTTATTGATGAAATAGCTCTGAATCGTTGTCCAGTATACATTGTCATGGTTTTAGAATTTCACTGTCCATTTATCACTACGATCTTCAATGCTGCTTTTTCCAAGGTATGATCATCTGAGAACTAGTGGTGTTGTTTTTTCACTTCACTATGATGCTTCCTGATACCATGAATTGGTTCAGGGGTATGTCATGAGTGTGATTTAGTTTGAAAAACGCAACCTGGCTTCAGGAACTCAGGTCTTGAGCCCTATAGATTGTATCCGAGGCATTTTTTTAAAGGCTTCACCCTGTTGCATCTGGGTTAGAAGTTTAATCGAAGTATACAATTATTCCCCTGTGAAATAAAATAATATGCATTGTTTTGAAAAGGATGTTGACCTCAAACCTGAGGGTATAAGTTGGCCTTATCGATAGAGGGGAGAGTTTCTCTTTTTTTTAATTGGACGAAGATATTCTTTTTGTCCTATGAATCTGGCGCACGTCAGCTGCATAGTTAACTGTTGCAATTTTTACATTGTATATTTCTGTGGTTCATATCATTTTGTGTCTGTCAGTGTCCTTTGCCTCAACACTACCCTTATGTTTCAAATTCTTTTCTTAAACTTAAATGGACGAGATTAAAATCCACTCCATCATGTTGTATTTATTCCTCATGATATTTTTAATGCAGTTGATATTTGGTTAATTTTTTTATCATGGGTTATGAATATTGATGGATGATGACAGCAGCTGTGCTGTGTTCACAATAATACATTTGATTGATTTGTTATTGACGCCACTCTTCACTATCTGACATTCTTAATTTTCAGCTTCCATTTTACTGACAGGCAGACAGTTTTCATGGTTACACCTTTATCTTAGCCGTCATCATGTTGGACTGTGATACAAAGGACCTTAGTTTGAATCCCATAAGGGGCATTTCTTTTAAGTTCTATGTGGGTTGTCTCGAGGGGTTTTTAAAGGTTCTTCACCCTTGTGGTACAGCTCTCTGGGAGAGGAACTTTTTCTTGAATAATGGTATCTTGTTGAAACAAACATTAAACCAAGACAATACATCCAGAACAATGCAGTTTCTCTCCATGAATGCTGCTAATAAGCTATACAGTGTTGTGATCGAATCCCCCATTCCGTGAAATATGAATGATTGGAATTGTAATAAACTTTGTAGAGTGTCTGATATTAATGTTCTGTTCTAGTGAGATGGCGTTGACCCTGAATAGGGATATTTCCCCTATGTCTAACTGACAGAATGTTTGTTGCAACACCTTTTGAGTGTGTTGCCTCGAATTTTTAATTCTTCTAACACACGAGACTTTTATCTTCCACAGTAGCCCGGACCAGCAAAACATGAGCTATTGTTGCAGCCTGTGTGTGTGTTTTGCACTGTTGTGTTGTTGTCTGCTCTATCCCCAGATTGATGTGCTTTGAGTGTATTGTTTTCTTCATTATTGTGTTTCCAGATTGGTTGTTGTATACCTCTCACTATTTGACTTGTCTTATTGCATTTGATTTGTCAAACGTCTGTAGACAGAGGGTCAGTCAGAGTTTGGGTGTTTTGTTGTAGATGTGGCATTGGTGGGTGATGAAATTAATATTTTTATTTGAAAAAGGAGGGGATGAATTCACCAAATTAATTCTGGACTCTATTCATTTCAAGTTTAAAACCGACCTTGCTGACCGTTTGTTCTAAAAAGAGAATTGTATAAATGTTTAGCCTATATCTCTATCTCTGTAAGATTTGGCAACATTGAAGAGAACTGTGGACATACCAGTGAAGATTGCACTTAACAGCATGAGCATTGTGTTCATTTTCTTTTTTTGTTCTTTTTTTGTTTTGTTTTTTGTTCTTATTCCACTCAGTTATATATTATCATTGTATTTCAGTTTGCTCATCAATATGTTGGGGGGATTTTCTTTTAAAAAAAATAAGACAACATAGTGTGGACTAATACATTTGCTCAAAAGATCTTATAGAAAAACCTGTTGATTTTTATCAATTGTGTGAAGAGATTACAGCATTTTCTCTGACTGTAGAGCTTAGTCTGGCTTGTGTGGCCCTGTGGTTATGTCCTCAGTTTGCAAAAAGCATGACACCACATACCTCTGTACTGAAGTACTTAACAGCTACAAAAGTTGAATAAATGAAAAATCTGATTGTTTCCACGCATTTTTGATCATGCATGGGTCCTTCTTCAGTATCACATTCTAACATAAGTTTGTTGCTCTGTGAAATTCTTTTTTTTACAAAGTATTTGACTCTGGGTTTTATTTCAAATCACCCAAATCCTAGGGTCGGCATGCAAAGCGTTGCAGTGGCTGACAAGACTGTCAGAGTGTGTTCCCACTGGACTTTCCATTTCACTGTTATTACAGGAGAAACAAAAATCCAAGAAACTCTCTTGTTTGTACTCAGACATTCATAGCATACAACATCGCCTAACAATGTTGAGTCCAGAGCAATCAATAAAGTGAAATCTTGCCCACAATCTTGCTGTGAGACACAGCTGCAGTCGATCTTGCCCAAGATGGCCCCCCATGATCAAGGAGGAAAGTGGTTGTCTTAGACAGATGAATGTCCTGGACAATGTCATTAAAATGTGTTTTTTAAAAAAGGCTTGGATGGAAGTGGGAACTGATTGTATAGGTGGCCGTAAGATCAGGTTTGACATTACTTTGCCAGTGCTGGTTTACTATGGTGTTGTAGTGCAGGTGATGAATTCATGGTGTTTGTAACCATCATCCTGCCTGTTGTGCTCACACTAGGGCGTCCCTGTGATCATCTGCAACCCTGAGGATGTAGACGTTCTCATGGAAGAGAACAATAACTCGTCGCAGTCTGCCCAGAACCAAAAAGTAGGGCAGGAGGCTGATAGCAAAAGACAGAGGACAATCGAGGTCCCACAAATGATAGACTGCTTGCAGGGGATCCTCAGTATCATCCCCATGCAGCTTCTGTCTATGCATATCGCAGAGTTGAGAGGACACGATGTAAGAACCCAGGTCGGGGGGATGGGGTGGGGTGTGGAGAGGGACACTGGGGTTTGTTCTGCGGTGCTTTTGTTTCCCTTTCATGCTGACACAATATACACCACCTCTTATGTAGTGTCTGTGGCTTTCACATCCTTTAACACGTGTGTATACTTCTCATAGCTGCATGCTTTGAAGTATGCTTATGTAATATCTTGTTTTGCTCCAAGTATTTCCGTTCTTGATTCTCTTTTGGCTTCAATATAATGTATTCTCACTTTCAAAACCTTAGTTCAGCGCGCTCATATGACCTTATGCAGTTGCGGGCGCTATAAATTTATAAAACTCTTACTAAGCTAAACTACAAGCATTGATTCTTGGGGGGGAGAGGAATCTTGGCGTTATGAAACAGTTACGGGTTCCCGCATGAATAGGACATCTGTAATTGAAAAAGGTGTGGCGTTTGTTAATGAAAACTCGAATGTTACAGTTAAAAAAGTGTGGAGATTTTTTAATTTTTATGTCACCCTGCACAGATGTTGTTTCAAATGCTATGAAAATAAGTTCCGACAGTTCTGTTTCTTTCTCTGTCTCACCTCAGCAAAATTCAGGTCTTGTTGGTGTGCATTAAAGATAAAGGATGAAACAAGAAAGTAAAGTGAAATTTGTGCTGACCCATGCATTTATACAGAGCTCTTCTCTTTTCCTGAGGGGTGGGGGTGAGCTACAGCATACCAATCTGTTAGCTGCCTTAACTCAATCATTCACATATTTTTATCTCTGCCAACTACCTACTACCCATTTATGGCTAAGCGAAATGATAAAATTAAAATTCCTCAAAATTGATTGTCCTCCCTGGCTGAGCTGGACTTGAACCTTCAATCTTACAATTATAAGTCAGATGCCTTCACCACTTGACTAGAACATCCCCAAAAGGCTATGTGGAATTGACTGACGATGTAGCTGAATACAACCGTCAAGTTCTCTTACTCCTAACCTACTGCCCCTCCCAATTTCATCTATATATCCTTTTACCCCCCATAGAAAAAAGTGTCTAACTGGTTTATGTCTATCGCTGTACTCTGTTTTCTTCATGTATACACTCCTCTTTCAGGAATATAATTCAGGAAACCAACTGGTTCTCCAGTGGTCCCTACCTGTAGACTTCTCTGTTTTATTGTTTTTTTCCAAACATAACCCTGTAATCTGTCCTTTCACCCAGTCGTGAACTCAACTCGGTTGTACTCTAACAATCGCAACAGATCTTGTGCTATCAGCAGCAAGTGCTACCTGTACTTTGTGTACAAGACAAGCCAAAAATACAAGTTGCAAGTTTATTCATTGGCAGAAAGATCACGTGGCAGTGGGAAGATAAAGCCTAATCGACAATGTGAAGATTCGTCTTCCGTAAAGCGTCTACTTTCTAATGGAAGAATGGATTAAATTTTTTGCCACTAGCGTTTTCTGTTTTATGTCTTTTGCTTCTCCAAAATGAACAGTAGTGTTCAGTGGTACTAAAGAGTATTTTATTTCCCACCTTTCTCTCTGGTGGATGAAAACACATGAACAGCTCACTCGAAATAATCAAGGGAACATATAAATAGTGTTAAAAATTGTATGAAAGGTTATAAAAGAAATTAGTTGATATGTTCTGGTTTTGCTGGTCCTTTGTCTCAACAACCTCTGAGTTGTATTGACTCTTTTGACGCCTGAGGCCAGTGTTTGGGTGTAGTTGACTGCATGTTTTGGGCAACTTTTGCTAACCGAATAACAGTAATGTGTGGAGGGCGAGGTGTTGGGCTCATCAATTGATGTACTAAAATTTTCTGTTTAGTCTATATGGGCATGTGGTCCTGGCAAATTTCTCCTGGGCATGAGTAGTTCTGCATGTTTTATATATTCTGTACCACCCTTCTGTGTGTACATGTTCATTTTTTGAGTTACTCACTCTGGGTTGGGATCACTGTACAGTTTTTTGTTCTTGCTTTGTTTTGTTTCATAAATACTTCTGCGTTTGCTTCTTGTGGATTTTGTGTGAAGCTCACTAACAAAAAAAGCTAGTCAATATGTCAGCTTGCATCAGTTGGCTCGCAAGTTGAGCTTGTCGATTTTGCTGAGCTTTTCCTTTTTCAGGATTGGGTTAATGCGGAGCCATGGACTTACAAGAACCCAACGTGCCCTCTATTTCTGCTTACTTTTAACTTTAAAATTTCAGCATAAAAAAGCAACTTTTTTTTTCTCTTTTCAACGAATTTCCAGGGAAGGCCAATTATCATTTGTAACGCCAACGATCTTGAAACGCAGGCTTTGGCCTATAAATTCCTAGATGTGCCTCATGCGGTGGATTGCCTACAGGGCATCCTGGCAGTTATTCCCATGCAGCTGCTCTCCTACCACACGGCTGTGCTCAGAGGATACGATGTAAGCCTTTGCACTGGGGACTTGGGACATGTGCCCTTCCCCCATCCTTCCTTTGCGTCCTCCTCCTCCCTACACCCTCCCTCCCCCCTTAAAAAAACAAAGACTCCAAACTTTCTGTGGTCCCTCAAAGCTGGACTGAGAGTTTTCAGGTGTTCAATGTACCTCGTCATGGACAACAGACTATTCCATGTTTTCACTTCAGGCATATTCAGTTTTTAGTGGGGTCCTTTTTGTTAGTGTTACAGTTCATCAACCTTTAAGCAAGGTGTCATGTACATGTAAGGCTTATAGATGTAAGGGAAAAATCCGAAGCAAAAAAATCTTTGCATATTTTTGCTTTGAAATATGAATAGAAAATAACTCTTTGGTTAGGGGGGGGGTGCGATTTAGCTTCTTTCCGGCAAAGATTTTTCCCACGGCTAACTTGCAAGAATTTCAAGGTTATTTTCATTAGTTTAGGCCAAAAGATTTGATGTGACTATGTACTGAGATCGGTTCAGACTAACAACAAAGCTTATTTTCCTGTATTTCATTTTATTTTTCAAGCTATAACTTGAAAATTACAGCTTTAAAACGTTTGTAAAAGTCCATTTCCATTTGCTTGAGCTGGTATGGATCAACATTACGTGCATTTCATTTTCCACAAGAACCAAATACCTTGTAGTGTGACTGAATTAATAAGACCTCTTTCATTCCTTAAATGTAATTAATTTTCCATTTAACTTCTTGGGACCAATTAGTTTCTATCTGAAAGACTAAAGAAATCAAAGCTATCCTATCTCTCATGTTACATCACCGAGTACTAACACGAAGCTTGTTTGGGTCAAGTTGTATTTTTGTATGTCAAGTAGACACTTTTGCAACTTGTGCTTGTAGCTTTGCTTTTTCAGGGGCTTTTATACATTAACTTGTGTCATGAGCGCAGTATGTGCAAAGGACAGAAAAGCCTCCAGTAGATGGTTGAAGGGCGCCACTGATAGGCCCTACTTCAATAATACTCCACTGATGTATATATAATATATATATATGTCTATCTTGTTTTTTACTTGCTACTAGGTGACCAACTTCATTTAGATGAGCTTCCTTTTTATATATATCAAACTTTAAAAAGCTTTGCTTAGGTTAAATATAGTCTGTAAAAGAATTAGGTACTTTTGAAAGTGTTGCAAAGTCGGGGATAATACTTTTTTCTTCTTTTCTTGCTGTCTTTCTCTATCCACATGTATCGTTCTTAGTTGTTGGTGTTGCTAATGTTTTTGTTACCGTTCCTATGTTGATTTGTTCTTGTTTATTATTCACGGGGTATTTATCGAGTGAGTAGATAAAAGTAAAAGGCATAGTGGAAGAATACAATTTCATGCTAGCTTGTGTCCTTTTGTTGTTTTGCATTTCCTCCTCTCCTTTATCCAGCACCATGTTGTTGGGTTGGGTTTTTTTTAGAAGGCTCAAATGTACTATTGTGGTAATGTCTTTCCAGAAAGTTGTGAAATCAACATCCTCAAAATTGTAACTTGGTACGAAGGAAGTAAATTTGATTTGAATAAGAGAAGAACAAAATTTTTATGAAGTAGATTGAAATTTTATGGTATCACTTGGAAAGATAAATAATGCAAACCTGCTTAATGTGTTAAAAATACGCTGAAAAGAATATGGAAATACACTGAAAAGAATATGGATAAACTTTGAAAGGAATATGGATTACTGGCACTTTGGTACTTGGTTTTTGTTCACCACAAGATTCTCATTCAATTTGGTGGCACATTAAAGCAATTCATGGAAATGGTCTTTGAGCAGTATTTAGCAAAGGACATTCTGATCAATTTCTTCATCATCACCCAATTCTGTTGTTTACGCACCTTCTGTTTCTCATTGTCCTGTGGTGAGAAGGCAATTATTCTTTCATTATCCGTCAACAAATGTACTCAAATTTGGCTCTGTACTTTATGAAATGATAAATACTTAATCCCCTTTTCTTTCTTGTGAGTTTGATGGGAAAAGGGAAGTAGGGGAAACAAAGATTGTGTAGTAGAGAATCTTTGGGGGAAGGGCGAGAAAGATATCTCTTTTCATGAACACACCCTTACTCAACACATAGATGCCATATTTGTGTTTTCAAGCCCCCTTTCTAGACACACATAAACTCATATGCACACACACAAACACACACACACTCCCACATACACTCACCTATAAGCTTTTGCTGAGAATTTGATTTTTACTTGCATTGTTTAAAACACCAGTGTCAATCTTTAAAAATTCCCCTTCTGTACAAAGGTGTTCATTTTTCCTGTTGTAAACTTGCATCTCAAATTTCAGTATTGGAAACATTTAATTTAAGTTTGTGTAATGCTTCTTAGGTTGAAAAATTACTTACAAAGTTTTATGCTGTATATGTGTGCCATGAATAATGTTGAGCTGGTGCTCATCCTCTGTATGTTGATCCACTGAGTTCTCAATGTCCAAACACAGGTTGACTGTCCCAGGAACTTGGCCAAGTCTGTCACTGTGGAGTAACTCAGCACAACTGTGAGTATTATTTTGATACAAATTACACTCACAAACGAATGCTTTATTAGTATTGCCTTTTGGGTGTTGTCTGACCATTTTAAAAACAACATCCACGATACAGCTTTGACTAGGTGGTAAACACAGCAGAAGTGGAGTGCATACATGCTTTACACAATAGGTGTACTTTTGTGCAGATTTTTTCCATTATTTTTTAAATTGTATGTATTGTATTTTCATTGTTCGTAACCAAATGGCTCTGACAGTTCTGGAGCTATGAAAAAGAGAAGTAGAGCTCTGTGACTGGTTTCTTAGCTTCTTTTTTAATGCATCTACTGAAGCTGATTTGATGATCTGGAAAGTTTTGATTGTTGCAGTAGCCTTATACTCTGACACCCTCATTGTTGCATCAGTCACAACCAACAGTCTATGTATAATTACGACCTTCATAGAGTAAGATTGAGACTTCAGCTGAGGAAGCCTTCAGAGTAAAACATTGTTTGTGTACAGCCTAGGGTAAAATTATTTTAGGACTTCTATTTCCGTGATTTTGCTGTTAGTCTGTATCATTCAAATCCATCTGTAATGGGATTAGCCCGCTTCTTTTTGCTGTTAATGTTCTCCTTATTCGTTGCCATGAAAACCATAGTGTTTGTCATGTTGGCTCATCAAGTGCTACTGTTTGGGACAGTCATTTCAGCGGATGATGCCCCTTTGACTGTGCCTCATTGTTATCCTGTTACAGCAATTGTCTTAACAACACTAACATTGGACTCTTCCTTCCAAATCATGACTTTGTCTATTTTCAGTAATACATTAGGAACCGTTTGTGGAGCTTGCTCGCTGTTCTCTCAACATTAAATTTAAGGTTCCATTTTTAGGGAAATTTCCTTAGTTCCAGAGATGGAGTACATATATTGTAGAATTGTCAGCTTTGATTTATGTTCATTCTGTCCAATTCTTTTCTCCCTTCCCTCTGAAATGACTTTTTGCATCTAGTACATGAAGTAGACTGTTGGAACAAAAATTTACCCCCCCAAAAAACAAAAAAACCCATTTCCAATAAGTTTCAGAAAGTTAGCTAAAGTTAGATGACATCCCCATGTGTTAGATATGTCTGTGTGTGTGTGTATGTTTTTTAACCTGTACATACTCCCCTTTGCTCTCCGCAGCAGCTGTTGAAGAGCAGTTTGTCAGGCTGTTGTGGACCAGTTTATCACGGCACGGTATTGTGTTCACCTGGGAGCCTCTGGCTCTTTTCTTGAGGACTGCTGAATACTGGCACTTATCTGCTGAACTGCTTTGGAATCTTAACATACTGGAGGACACTTGCAAGTCACCTCTGGAGCTTTTACTAATGATCGGCTGAACTTTAGAAAGAAATATATGTAGATCTACAGATGAAAATCATCATACAGGTTCTTATTTGTTATGTTGTTGTTTTTATTATTGGGATTTAAAAAAACAAAAAAACTTCGCTTTCAACATTCCCTTGAAATTCAATTTTGGGGAGAAAGAGGAGAATATGATTTTTTATAACATAAAAAATTTTCTGCGCCATCAATATAAATGTATTCTGTAAGACATTATTTGAGATTCTGTTGAGAAAAATTATAAAGCCAATTGTTTGTATATACTATATATATAAATATATATATAACATATTGTAATCTATTATATTGATCAATGGATTTCATTTGTTGCCTCATTCATAGGTCGTATGTGCAACTGATCTCATCAGTTTGTCATCAAAACCTCATGTTATCTATGTAGATGTGGAGGTAAGCTAAATTGTTTCTATGAAGCTTTGACATCTGTGTGTTGAGGGAAGGCTGGTAGATTGTGAAGACAGAAGATTACTGTTGGAAGAGCCCCCGCTCTGTCCACCCCCACCCCACTTCCATCCCTGACCCCACCCCTGTCTGTTCTTGCTAGTGTTATAGCCAATATCTCTTTACTGCAAGGGGGGGGGGCACGTTGGTTGTTACCATTGCTTGAGAGTGCTCCTCTACTTTTGTTTTTTTTCTTTTCCGATCTTCCAGTTCTGTTCTTAAACTTAAATATTATTTGGGAATGTTAACCCGACCCTTTTGGTTTTGTTATTGTTGGTTTATCCACCCACAGTCTTATTTTGCCTATCTGAAATTTGAAACTAGTCCTCATCTTGGGGTTCCTTCATCCTGGTTTTTTTGTACTCTAAACTTGTGATAACCTTGTAACAAAAGAATTATATATTGACAATGAGATAATTGTGATGCAGGAATTCTTCAACGTTGAATGCTCTTCCCCTGTTGTGTGTGAGGAGTTCACTATTTACTCTATGCAAATCTTCATGTAGTCGCACATGACCTCTTCAGTCCATGGCGCCTGGGATGTAAAATCAGCAATGTTTTCTTTTCATCCTATGACTTTCATACGCTTGGGTCAGGATTCTCATGTAGTTTAGTCTCACATCCATGACGTTCAAAAAGGATTTCATATTGCATGTCAAGGAAAATACTGTGCTGTAATTCGCATTTTTTAGTCCGTTTGGCTGTCAATGTAAAAAAGTGTGATAGCAGTTTTGTAAAGCTTTGAATTTTGTACAAGCAGTGAATCTGTTACGTAATCCATCTGTTTTTCCACTTCGTTTTAATGAAGAGGAAGTTCATAATTTATAATTTTGATAACAGTTTTTGAAAAATTGAGAGAAAGATTGCACATTCCTTGAACTTTGTTGCTGGGTATTACCTCAAAAAAAAAAATGAACTCAAGGGTCACCAAGAGCAGAGGTTGTGTCCTTTATGTTTTCTTAGTTTGGATGTACAGTCTTAATGGCTCTGTATAGACCAGTCCCAAGTGGTACTGGTTTGCTGCAGAAATTTGTGAATACTTTTAAAGTGATCAGTGAGGTTGCTGCATTTTTGCACTCTGCTCATTCTTGTCACAAAAAAGGCATAAAATTGTTCACTAATCTTAGATGATATATTAATACACATTTTATTTAATTTTTATGATTCTTTTACCATGATGATATGTATATTTTATTTTTATTTGTTTAAAGGCTGGGCTTTAATTTCAGCTTTCCTGCCATAGTTGTTTAGTTTGCTCAAAGGATATTTAAAGTTTTTTTCTGAAAGTGAAATTGCCAAAGGAGTTGTTTGTCTTTTCCTTTTTATTAGATGAGAATTTAAGCTGTTTTGGAATTTGTGTAGTTCTTTAAGCAGTGAGAGCAAATAGAAAGGTTTTGTTTTGTCAACTGTTTTGCCTTTGTCCTATGATGAAATGGCATTGTTATGAAGTTCTGCTGGTACAAACAAATTGTTTGATGGCTCAAAGGTAAGTGAGCTGGAAATAATAATCTAGCATAAGGACTGTTAAATTGTTCTTTTTCAAAAGGTAATTTCAAAAGTGTAATAATTTAGATTTTCCAATAAAAACGAAGTTACAAGATTATGCAATCAGTTCTAAATAATTACGTACATTAATATGTGATGTTTTGGCGACATAGTAGGTTCAATGCTACTCATTATCTGACTGCACTGAAGATATCTTGAGTGAAAAAAGGTAATCTCTTAGCATGAGTGAAAACACTTCACTTTTCTATGACAGAATATTTGAAAATGAGTGTACCGGTATAAGAAATCCTTCCGCTTAAGTTTATTGAAGCAGATTATTGTTTGCATTCTAAATGAACCATGTGACTGATAGGAACAGTGTTGCTGTTTAACTTCATGTTGAAAAAACAAACAAAAAACAGTTGTCTAAAATGTAAACAATGAACAACTATGTGAGGGGAAGAAGGGCTCTGCTTTCACGGCTCGTGGAGAGCACTTGGAACACAAACAACCTGGCCTAGAATAATTGAAGGCTAATGATTTTTTTAAAAATCTTCCTTACTGTCAACAGACTTAGGCGTAGAAAAAGCTTTTTGATGGTATGGTAATATGTTCCCCTTTATTTTTATTTTATATTCTCTTTCAGCCTTTATTATAGTTTGTAAAAAAAAAAATTGATTTCTTTCAACCTGTCTGTACTCACAGCTGTGAGTATTGTCACATCTGACAGTCCTGTGAAATTACCAAGTTCTTCGTGAGTTAAAAATTAACCTCTGGTGGACAGGGAGTTGAGTAAAACTGGAACGGGGAGATAGATAATTGTAACCAGTATTATTAAGTGAACATCATTGTTAAGTTTATCAGTTTCATCTTCTTGATCTGACGTTTTTTGCCACAAATCCATTTCATTATGATTCTGCTACATTGTCATGGTGAATTGTATACCTGGTTACATTTTCCTTACCTTTTGTTGTGTTTATTATTTATACTTTTCGTTGTGATATGAATTGAACACTTACTGCTAATTGTTATGTTGATGAGGTCAATCAAGGCATTTGAAATCCAAGTTCTTTTACAGTAAATTATAAATAAGTAGGCCTATCATGGAATTGTGAATCATGCAGTTGTTTAATCAGTAGGACAAATCTGTTTGGAGAATGAAAGATTACAATGCTCTACTTTGGTCAGAGGTTGGAGTCAATATGCTTCAAATCAGTCATAACATGGATTTAGGAACCAAGGCAAGGGAATGTACAAGGGAAAGAAGAGGGACATCTAATTTACCGAAAGATTTGAAGTCTGTGGGATAAAACTCAAAGCTGACAATCAAACACAAAGTGGCACTGTCGGAGTGTACAAGTACAACTCCATGTGTTGCACCATCGAGCTCCTAAACACTCCTGGAACAATTGTACCAACCAGATGATGTAGTTTCTCCTACTTATCTTATTTTCAGGAGAGCTTTTGTTCCAGTGTGCTTCTGTGCACTAAAAATGTGGCCTTATAGTGGTATTATCAACAGTGGTGTAAATTGCTAGCTTATTATAATAAATTAAGAAAGATGCGACTTGAATATTATAAAATTATTAATTCCTGGAAGTTGGTGCACACTGGACTTTGCTCAAAGTAGTCTCTGATATCATTTCCAGGTATGATGTGGATGGTTGGAGGATGTTATTTGAATGTGCTTTTTCTCTCCTTTCCCTCTGTAGTTTCAACCTGTCTTTATTGCCTGCTCTAAATGACCTATACTCTGTTGATGCGATTCTTTTTACTGAAACCAAACAGAGTATGACGATACTTTTGTGTGTTCCATGGAAAAAAAATAGGTCAAAAGTTTGAAAATTAATTTCACAATTAAACGTTTTTGTTGGTCAACTTAACATTACATTGTATCAGTAAAAGTTCCCCAAGGAACTACTTTTTTGATCAAGAACTTTTGACAAATCTTTGAAAAATGCATTTGTTGTTGGGTTTTTTCTACTTACGGTTGCATACCAAAAAGGAAATACTGAATATTAGTACATGTATTACCAAAGTTACTGATGACAACCTCTATTGCTTAATTAATACTGATAGTCTTCATTCAGCACTTGAGATATAATTTGAAATCTGTGGTCCGTTCTCTTTTGCCTGGCCTTTTTCCATTTTCTCATACCAAAGCAGTGTTCACACAGGATGTGAAATTGTAATGTAGTTGAGCCAAAGGTATAACTCATTTTGTTTGCTCCACCGATCTAGCGCTAGTAATGATTATATTGTGAAACTGTTGTGATAATTTACATATCAGTGTAAATCTGAGACTTGTGGAATTACTCAACGCTGTCTAATTTTGTCAGATATGAATTTCATTTTTGTTTTTAAAACATGCAACGAATTTAATCAGTTTCAAATTGGTCATTCATCATACCAATTTTATGTGTTCATGCCATCAGTGTGATTTCTTCTTTAAACCATGTTTGTTGATAAAAGAATGAAAAATGACAGATGTGAGAATGAAATGATTCCTTTTGTGAGTTTGTCAGAGCAAAAGCCTGAGTCTTCTGTCTTTGTATGGAAGAACTTTATTATTTACAATTATTACTAAACCACTGCATGAGACTTCATTAAATTTTTAACATTTTAAATTTGATTTGGGCTGTAATTTTTTTTATTTTGTTTGGTCTTATTTTCTTTTTTCTCCTAACTTTTTGGTTCTTTTTTATTTTGTTACATTATTATAATCATCTTAGATGCTAGCAGTGTACACTATGACAAGCTCTTTGTTGTTTTGGAAAGATACACAAAAGATTTCAATGTATTCTGATTAATAATGCATTTTATGCTGTTGTGACAGGTTTCCAAAACCATATCAATCACAGTCTGTTTACCTCTGCACTTGTCTGTAAATGAGATTGATGATATTTAGATAACTGCTATAGTGGGTGTCAAAGAAATGGTTTTGTTCCGGTGAAAAAGAAATATATATAGGTAGTTCTACAAAGCTTTATTTGTTGATAGACCCTCAATTTTGCCTTCACCATAACTTAATTGTGTCCGCATAAGGCATCCATGTTCCGACGGAAGATTAAAGAAATCTATACGTACTACTATTATGTTTGTGACACATGTGAAAAATAGTTTTGACAATTTGGTTCTACCTCATCCACTGAAAGCTTCTCTCAAGACAAGATCCTGTTCCAGTAATTAATTTCTTTCGGGGCCGTGTTGTTTTAAATGATTGTGAATTTTCTCAATGATGTATGCTACACTGCATCAGATCCGTATGCTATTTATAATTTAATCGTTGTAGTTGCAGCCAGTGATAAAGTGATAAAACTTAGTTTCAGAAAAACTTGACAGTGATTCGAGTTCTGTTCATAACTTAAAAATTGTAGAAAATTGCAGTGCTATTTATTTTTCTTATGACGTGCTCCATTGACCAAAGGGAATTTTGTTGGTGGTAAAGAGGTCAAGATTAAATTGATGTCTCAACCCACTCACATCTTAGCCAAAAAAATTCTGAAGAAGAGTAGTGTTTCCTTTGCACTCTCCATATTGCAGATGCATATTACCTATCCCAATTTTACCAAACCGTGTCTTAATTCTTCTGAGGCATTTTGAGTTGGAACTTTTGAGGGATCTGTTGTAAAATCTTACGTGATTCATAATTTTTTTATCATGCACCGCACAATGACTGATGTCATCATACTTGTAGTTATATTGACTTTTTACATTAACTATGGTAAATGATGGTGGAAATATTGGTACTCATCATATTATGGTATTCATCCTTTTAAATGCTTTAATATTTTGGAAGGTTCGTGAAGTTTCAAAGTAAAAGGGAAATAATGGTAATATAAAATTTTAAAACTTATTTAGCATGCTGACAGTTCTATCATCAGTTTTGTGAGATGTTCATAACTTGTGGTAGTAAAAGGAAAGGGAACACCCATGTACTTTTCAAACTTAACTTACTTATCTGTTATTTCTCCCAGCTTTGCTCTGATTTTAGCAAATTTTTGTGAATGAAAATAAAGAGTTAAATGCGTGGTGTGAAAAATTGGTATAACTTAATGTAAGTATAAGCAGATTGCAGATTGTTTTGATGGGAACCTGACAAAATGATTGTGTGTACATGTTTAGTAAAGAAAGCCTATCATGACTAGATTTATTTGTACCGGTACTCATTGTCATGCATTATTTACAGGCTAATTTTAAAACAAAGAATTTGTGGGATCAAACTGTTCTGTAAATTTACATGTGTACACATTGTTTCCCTTTCATTGCTTGCTTTCCTATATTTCTCATCTTTGGTTTTCATTTTTGCCCTGGGATCAACCTTGTGTGTAGACACACAATCTTATGTTTTAATTGGGACAGGAATAAAGCTTGACTTGAAAAACATTTTTCTTTATGGTGTTGTTAATGATAATGATTCTTGCCTCGTGTGTGCCAAGTGGAGCTGCATCGAGTGTGTTGAGTGTTGTTTCTCTACAGCTCACCTGACTAGAGCGAGGGAGTAAAGTAAAGTAAATTGATGAGCACTGGTTGGCTGGAGATTCAATCAACCCTGCTCTCTTGACTCATTAGTACTAGTTAGTAGTACATGTAGTGATGTGTTTATTATAACATGTACATTGTTGTACATTGCAATTGCAGTGCTAAATGTGTGACTGGATGGTTTGTTTTTGCATTATATATATATATAGGGGGGCTCTCGTGGCCTAAAGGTTAAGGTGTTGGCCTCTCATTCAAAGGTCTCGGGTTCGAATCCGGGTAGCGACCAAAAAATTTTCTGCCCCCACCCCCTCACCTCCTTTGCCCCCTCCTCTG